TTTGTTCTGTTCTCTTTCTGAAATATTTTATTCCTCTAATATTATTGCTGGATTAACTTTGTGTAGTCCATCTTTTGGCGTCAATACAATATGTTGTTTGTTTTTATTTAGTCAATAATAGTTTACTTGACGACAATTGGTGACAACGCAACTGAATGGTTTACAAAACTTTTTAGAATGAATGCATTAGTCGATATATAACACAGTACTGTTCTGGTCAATTCAGCAAACTTTTCAAAGATAATATGAAACAAAATGAAGCAAAGCATAGGAAGAAAGGATGAGAGCAAGGATGTAGGATTGTTTAAAACACTCCCTAATTTATATTCTGCAACACACCGATAATTCTGCTGTTTAACTTGGAAAATGTTGAGAGTAACTGGTAGTTTCGTTTACAGACCTTCATCAGCTAGGCAATCATAGTAAAATAAAGACTTTTTCACAATTCGGATTGACGATTGTAATACTACGTTATTGCTGAATGAAGGGATTTAAATTTAATTACTTATATTTCCAACTCTTTAGAAGTGACTTCTAGCGACTTTGTTAAGTCTACTAATCAATCCTTATTAGGAATTAAAGAAATTTCTATGGACGTTAATCCTCCATAATCACTCGGTTAATGTTCATCTGGTGAAAGTGTGATGATACTGGCTAAGCTTTTTTTTGTAAAATAACAAACTGGTTTATTTCACGTTTAACAGCTGACAATTAGCTATATGTAATTTAGTTTGTCATATTCAACGACGCCATCTCTAGCTTAGTAGGTGTGATATCCAGCCGGGTATCGACCAACGAGCGTATGTACTGCTCAGCAGTTCTCTCCGTCATCCCTTATGGATGTTAGCGGGACATGGCCATTGAAAGTGGAAGACATGGAAAGGCTAGTTGTCTGCTTTCTATATCCTGTGTTAAGTGGTACAATAAGGTGAGCAATATTGAGGTTAGGCATCGGTCGAGTGTTAGGTAAGAAGGGGAAATCAATCGACGAGGCTGTGAACTTGCATCGATTGAGATAGTTAAAACATGTGTTACGCATGCTAGCGTGGCCATCGCCTTCCTCGACTGACGGGCAATGTTAGCTGGCATAGGATCAAATCGGAAAAGAGCCCACGGTGGACTAACATAAAACTTGGAATCAGTCAATGAAATCCATAATAGTTAGTTTAAGCCACATAGGGAGGTGTAGACTACCTGGTTGAGGTCCCCGGGATTCTAAGAACTAATGGCTGGAGAAAATTGGTGATATGGCTCGAAATTGTTCTCGATGATGGCGCAGATGCATTCACTCTTTGTGATCTCCCATCTCCATTAAACTCTATTGTTTTTTCCATGTTACTATTCTTTCTCCCTTATATTTCTGCTAATTGTCATTCTTTCGAATGTCTCTTTTTCTCTCTCTCTCTTATATATATCTTTATGTGCAACATGGAGTATTGCAACTCGAACGACTTTACTTTGTGTAAAGTTCAATACTGAAACCAGTCAGTCAGTTAGTAGTTAGTCATATTCACTGACTACTAAATGGGCGACGTTAAATACAGTCATGGAGTTAATATATCTAGTTTAGCATTCACTGGTATGATAATTATCTCCTTTCACAAAATTACAGCTTATTCTAACCTATTAGAAATGTTTTTTTTGTAAATTCATAAAAACAAACAATTGTCGTCTTGTTTACAAAAAATTATAGTTAATGTTTTATGGTGTGCAGGAGAAAAACTATGTGTGTATATCGTTAGTTTTTTATTTTGAATAACGCAATAATAACAGTTTTTGTAGACTAAAATGAATTCATTTTGCATCATAAGGTTTTCGTCAGCTGCATACAACCTGAATTATAATAAAATAATATACGTAAGTAATCAGTGTATAATACAGTTCAGACATACTTTAACTGAACAGCCAATCCATTTTATAGATTAGAATAAAATGTTAGAAACGAAGACCCTCTACAAATTAGACAAGAAGTTAAATTAATAGATTATAATCAAGATATATAGAGAGAGCAATATTCTGTAATGGTAATGATAACAATATATATGTAAGTATAAATACCAGGTTACATCATAAAAAATGCGATGGAATTTTGTTGATTTTAAAACGAAAGAGTCAATAAATAAGTTAACAATACTTTCTTCATGAATATATAATTTAGGCTTCATTATTCTGATGTTGACAGCTTCAGAAATTCGAAGCAGTCGTAAAATACTTTGTCTGTTCACCAACTTAAACGATTCTGATATGTTAGTCTGATGTCCTGTATCAACCAGGCCGCGAACTATAGAGTTGTTAAAAAAAAGCTGAATCTCTAAGACGTACACTTTTCAGCACGTATTCAACAATCCTAGTTGACAAGCGTCTCTCAGTTCTTCTTATACACTTTCTACCGCATGTACATTTGAATTCATAAGGACAGGTGAAGTTAATGACCATCAAAATCTGGTCTTCTTTGAACCGTGTAATTAGACAGGTTGCTTTATGAAGGAGGATCAGTTTGGCTCCTGGATATGTTCTCAATATTATGCCCTTTTTCTTCCACTGAACCACCGACGCAGGAATAACTGTACTCATAATAAAATCTCACCGACTGGTATCTAGGAAATTCATCATAACTGAGTTGATTTCACAATGCTTAGAAAGCCGTACGACTGTTATATTTGTATAAAGGTTTGTTATTACCATCGTTTTTTTTCAATGTAGATTTTGTCAAAAAATGATTTTACTAGATAGCTTTTGAATTCAAGAATGTCAGTGATGAATGTATACTGCTTAGACAAAAGAGCTAACTATATCCAATGTACCTTCTTCTACATCCGCTTTACTGTGTACCCAGACACCTTTTGTTAAATAAGCTTTCCCTTATACAAAACCAGTTGTGGGCTGTTAACTGGCGGCAATCTTATTTCTCTAACAGAATACAGTATACTGTATACAAAGGCGAATCTCCCACTGTCTTGCTCACTGAAGATAGATTTCCTGAAGGCACTGTTCTCTTTTCTCTTCTTTTTTTCCTCTTACATAACTTGCCTTCTTCAGAAAAAAAACGACTTTGCTAAATAAGCTTATGATCTGACCGTCTCGTCGCCAGTTACGTCCATATCTGACTATTACAAACTTCATAGGTTTTGTTTGATACCAGCCAGTGGTCTAAGGTAATTGGTCTTACCTTAAATCCCTCTAAATGTCAAAAGGTTAACTTCATCTGTAAACATGAACGTGATCTATACGAACTGGTCCGTTCAAAAGGTGCTCGTAGCATAGAGGGCAGTAAAACAGAAAGTAAGCCAAGCATAAAATAACTTGGTCATCCCATATCTTGTCGATTTCCAAGAAAATGTTTCATCTAACCTATTACATTAAGAAGTTAAGACAACCGGGAATCACTCAACCTCTACTTTTACAATTAGTTAACTCTTGCATCTTGCCTATTGTTCTTTATGTCTCCTCCATAGTCTTTCCTAGCCTGCTCAAGAACGAATATGTCATATTGTGAAAGGTATTAAAGGTTGTCAGTAGGGAAAGTGGTGTGCTACTAAGTCAGCTCGTTGCTACTGTAGTCGACAGACACCTGAACTCATGCAAGAAATAGTCTAAATCCATATTGTCTGACTCTCAATACCCTCTCTGTTCACAACTCTCCACTTGCATCTCATCAGGTAGGAATAGCAGTCATAATGATAGATTATATGGTCACACAACTAAGTACAAAACTTAACGGTACCTTATTTTACCCGCCTTCTATGTGATGGACAAAGTGTTAAGCGTGAAACCTACAACTTACTATGTAATTAGCAAAATAATTGGCTCTTTGCTCTCTTCCCATTTGTAATTTATGGTGACACTATTTCAGTTATGTTATAGTTTTAGCCATTGACGTTGTTATCATCATTTTACACTTTTTGTACATTTTTGACTTTATATTCACTGCAAATTCCAAAAAGCTTCTGTTATCAAATTCGGTTACCTGCTCCCGTGGATACACGTAAATTTGTATACACAGTTGGAGTTAACAGTGAGAAGGGTATCTGTCGACTTTTGTCAGCACCAAAGAGCACGTTGTCCGATAGACGGGAACCAACTGAATGTCTTTATTCTTTCTTCCATTTGACTACGTAATCTTTGGCTTTAACCTCACCTCCTTGATATAGTGTAATTTTGCTTGTCTCCGGTTTCTATGATTTGAGTTGAACTCAGTACATTGTTACCCAATTTATTAGTTACTCACCATCTTACGTACCTCTTGTCTTTATTACGTAACTCCCTTACCATTGTATGCATACATTTACTTTGTTTAAACTTGAACTCCCTGTGTAAAAATTAAATAAGCGTAATTTTCTGAGCACTGTTCGCTAAGTTCGGAACTTCCTGTCAACTGACATCATGTAAAATTTGCAAGTATGTTAAAATGTTTCTGTACGTAAACTTAATAATTTATTTAGGTTGTAAGCAGGTGATGAGGAACCAAAGAAATGAATGATGGTACCATATTATTCTGCAGAAACTGTTGTTCTTGCTTTATTCACATATCATTGTTTAATGTGATTGTTAGGTTTAGTTGAATTACTACCGAATTTCAGCATATTCCTAAAGTGAAATCGGAGTCATCGCTACTATCTCTGTCAAAGAATCCGTAATTTACCGAAAACAATGCTCTTAAGAAAATCTTATTTCTTCTCTTTGGCTAACCAAAATTATTTCAAGTAATTTTCTTACTGGACTAAAGCGCCCATATCTCTCAGTAAATATGAGGTCTTGTCATATCCCGTCACAAACCGATAGTTTTTAACTGATCAGGAATTCTTACCACTTTATAGTACAATTATGAATAACTCTGATATTATTTTAATGTAACTGCAGAATCGACTTCACTTTTGAAGCCTTTTACTATGATTCTTAGCACTTTAACCATTGATTTATGCAGGTGAGAAATTGATTTCTATGATGTTTCTTACTTCAACTTAACTCCAGCAAATTTTTATTTCTTCCATTCACTTCAGGTTCGTGTTCTACGAAGCATTGAACCTTTAACAATGAAGGATCTTGTAATTGGACAATATGTTGCTGATCCAAACGCTAGTCATCCACCTGCAACATTATCATACACAGATGATCCATCAGTTCCTCCAAGTATGTTTATAGACATTTTCTGTATAGTTATGATTCTTGGCTTTGCGAATTTCATTATTTTTACTCATACGCTTAACTGTCATGTTTTCACTATAATTAATTAGCAGTTGCTAAAATATCTATGAATATAAGGCATCAATGTAAGTATAGAATTTGGGAACTGTGGTAGAAGCTAATTTCATATTAGATACGTTTATTTGATATAATACACTGTGATACAGTATTAATAACTGGATGACATCTCGACCACATTTTTTTTAAATATTCCTTCACGTTCCCAGTGGAACATAGGGCTTCAAGCTAGAAGTTTCTGTAGCAATGTTTATTTTACAGGATAGGGTTGCTAGCCTCATGTCCAACCTTTCCTCTTCACCAGCTTTATTTCTGGCTTAGCGAGGTAAAGGAGTGCGCCGGCCGGGACTCGAAACCCGGACCATGTACATGGTCGGCGAGCGTCCTAACCACTGTGCCACCGACGCACTCGACCACAATTCATTGCTCATAATCATATCAATTTATTCACATGCCTTCATAATTTGCTTTGTATATATTTTTCCTTACCCTTGTTATTCATTGAGAAGCTGTATCAGCCATAATGGACTGACTAATTGCTGATGAAGCCTCAACATGGATACAAAAGGCTCGTGTGGTATTTGCCAACCTACATCGTCTATAGCGTAGACGTCATATCTGGCTATCGATGTACTGTGCAGCAGTTCACTATATATCCCCCTTTATGACTGTGAGACATGGTCAGTGAAAGTGGAAGATATGAAAAAGGCTAACTGTCTTTGACCACAGGTGTTTGTGTTCTATCTCCCATGTTAAATGGTATGACGTGGTGAGCAATAATAAGGTTAGGGGTAGAGTGCTAGGTAAGGCGATGAAGTCAAACGATAAGGTTGGGAAGCTACATCGATGCAGATGACTTAGACACGTGGTACGAATCCTAAGCTATTGATTTCCACATTGAGCAATGTTGGCTGATATAGGATTAGGTTGGAAAAGAGTCACATCAAATCATGGCATCAGTCCATGAAGTCTCGAACTGTTGGTTTGAGTCACGTAGGGAGGTGCAGACTGTTATACTTAGGTGCTAGAAACTCTAAGAATCAATCAATGGTGATATGGATCAAAATCGTTCTCAATGGCGCTGATGTATTCACTCTCTGTGATCTCCTATATTCATTCAATCCTTCTGGTTTTCTGTGTTACTACTCTTCTTCTCTTTATAGTTCTTTTGAATCTTTTCTTCCTTTCTTTTATCTACCTTTGTGTGCAATATGAAGCGTGGCATACTCCAGACAGCACAGTCATTTTTAATGAATTTATGTATAAGTCTCGTCTCTTCCCTGACAGAATATAGTTGTCCAGCTATCATAATTTGATGGTAATCAGAGGATTATTTTTTGTATGTTTGAATGTGAAATACTACTATTTAAAGGTAATTGTATCTTCGTCTACGATACCGCTTTCTTGAAACAATTTACAGTAAGGATGGACTCGTTTTGTTGTTATGTTTTTGTGAAGGCAACTTAATTCAGTACTAATTATGAAATAGTGAAAAACACTTTAAACTTTTTACAATGGATAATTTTTGTAACATAAAAATAACTGTTCATTGAAATTCAACACAACGTGCTATTTCAAAAAAAAAACTAATACCCTAGATCATTAGAGATCAGCAGATACTCCTATTTAACACATAATAATTGATTATGAAGACGAAAATTATACTATTTTAACTAAAACAATTGTGAAAGGGAATCGGTCATGCATTTAATGCCACACTTTGTGTGTGTTATTTCATTCACTACCTTCCGGTTAAACATGTGTAGTTTGAGAGTACTTGAAAGCTAATTCTTTATTGTTATTGATTTTCTATGCTAATATGGTTCATTCGTAATGTTTACATGTTTTTTTAGGACATACAACTTTGATATTTACCGACATGTACGTGGTACACTGTTCATGTACTCTGTTTATGACGGTTCTCCAATATAAGACATTATTGTTGACAATAGTCTCTACGTGTTTACATATTTTGAAATACTTTGAGATTATTTTGAGTAATTTTTTAATGATGCAATCGGACTCGGAGCTCGAGTTGTTCTAGAGCATTTGCGACACCCTGTTTGGATATTTAGCATTATTTGACTCTTGTCAAAACCATTGGAAGTAGTAATTTATTTATTACATCTAAACAGTTCCTTTCCAAATAAAGGTTTCAGTGCATGCACCAAAGATTTCTCGTTAGATAGCTGGAGGCAGTTGGTAGGAAGCTGCCGTCAGACCTAGGTTTTGTTGTCTGTTGACACTCGTCAGCAAGACGTATGTGTAATTTTAAAGAAACTTATGCCCCTTCCAAGATCCGAACCCGTGTTGTCCAGTGGTGCAGTCAGAGATGTTACCGCTGCGCTTTTCGGACTCGCGATTGACCTCTTGCACGTCTGTATTGGATACTTTGATTGAAAACTGGGTAGTAACTAATGTCATGCGTCTAGTTGTTTGTTTCGTGCAGACCGAATTTTATCAGTCAAGTTTGCAGTGCAGTTACCTCATACAGGAGGCTAGTTACAAGCTCAAATAACTCAGTAACAATATCTTTGACTGCAGTACTGGATGACATGGGTTCGAATTTCAGAAGGAACATGAATTCCCTCAAGAATACAGATATACGTCTTACGAACAAGTGACAACAAGCACGAAACTTAGTTCGGGAAGGGCTTCTTGTTGATTGTCTCCATCGATCTAACTACAGTTCACCTAGCATAGTGGCTACATTGCAAACTTGACTGATAGAATTCCATTCGCACCAAATAAAGGATTAAACACATGAGTTAGCAACTGCTTAGTGTCCATTCAACTAAAGATTTCTTTATAGAATGAGTAATTGATGATTATCATATGGCATTTCCAAGAACTCTTTATAAACCACCTACTGTTCTAAATTATCTCTTGTCACATGAAAGTTTATAAACATGAAATACATAAAGTCTTTATTACACTTTAAATATCAGACTACGCTACTATCTACTTTACATCTACACATATATCTACAGTCCTGCACATTAGAGTGTTTGGCAAGCATGACACAACAACATAAGATGCCCAGTACTTTTTACGTCAAAGGAATAAGAATACTATATGTATATATATACATATATATATATATATAAGACTCTAGTATTTCATTTCTAGACGTTCTTATGACCAGAATAGAGGATGGCACAATAAGAAGAAGTGTATATAGAAAACCTACATCAACGGGTCAGTACACTCATTTTTTCAGCTTCGTGCCCTTGAAATACAAACGCAATCTGATAAAGTGCTTGGTTAACAGAGCATGAGCAATCTGCTCGGATGAATGTCTTGATGAGGAACTTAATAATATTAAACGGTTGCTGAGTGAAAATGGTTATCCAGAAAAGTTTGTTGATAAGAATATGAATCTAAAATCAAAGCAGCCTAAGGTACCAACATTCCCTAAAAAGGCCTTATTCTTACAAATGCAGTTCCTTGGCGGTAGCATCAGCAAGATACTAACACAGCGCCTTAGAAATGCGGTAAAAAGAGCATTCCCTGCTGCCGAATCACTCTGTGTCTTCAAAACCACTCCTCTTTTGCATTCGGGAGTAAAAGACAAACTGCCTAATTTCGCCTCTTCCATGTGTATCTACCAATTTAACTGCTCGTGTGGAGCCAGTTACATAGGCCGTACATTTAGGCGTGTTTCTCATCGAATTTCCGAACATCACCCTGAGTGGTTAAGCAAAGGACAAACAAAATCTATTCGAAGCGCTATTCTATCTCATCTTGTGGATACAGAACACAAGATTGATGTTAACCAGGCTTTCAGAGTCATTTACCACATACCAACAAATCTCAATTTCGCCTTAAGAGTTCGACTACTAAATATTGCTGACACTGGCTGTTGGGATCCATATTAAGAAGTCTAATTTGTGCGTCCAAAAGAAGTTAGTTCAGACATTATCCGTACCTTGGCCATCTAGGTTTGAATGATCCTGAATTTTTGTGAAATTTTCATAATTTTAGTTGATATTCTATTTGCTACTATATCTTTATTATTATTATAATTTAAGCATCTTTAATGAACTGTGGTAATTCCATTGATCTTACTTTACAAATCGATATTATTTAAAAAACACTAATATTGTTATTGACTACTAATCTAGAATATTCTATATATATATATATATATATATATATATATAATTGTAGAGCCGGAAGAGGAATTTATCGAAAGGAATATTTCATACATTTGGTTCCCTTGATAAATTTCGATAGAGAAAGAAAGACCAGATTTGCAGTATAAAATGATATCATTCTATTTCACAGGTTCTCATCTGCTGCAAACTACCTGAAATTACAATGGTTATAAATAATAGCATTTCATACTTCATTGTTTGAAAGTTAATACAGAAAGCATTATAAGATAAACGCATCTGGAATATAAGGATTAAAATTTATAGTTTAAGTTACCATCAATTTATATACTATCAAACAATAAAGTATGATATGTTATTATTTATAACCATTGTAATTTCAGGTAGTTTGCAGCTGATGAGAACCTGTGAAATAGAATGATATTTTATACTGCAAATCTGGTCTTTCTTTCTCTATCGAAAAGAATATTCTTTGCTCAATTATTTTGTGTTTTATAGATGTCTGAATGAATATTTTCCCTATATTGAAACATGAATTTACATAATTCTGATTATATTTCAACAACACAAGAGTTGTAGGGGTCAATGAAGTTCATCGTTTGACTTCTGTATCATACGCCGCACAAATGTTAGCGTTGATCATTTTACATGACGCAGACTATGTAGTCACCTTTAGTTGATTGTTTTCCTGTTTCTTTTGATGTAAATAATACTGGGTATCTTATGTTGTTGTGTCATGCTTGCCAAACAGTCTAATGTAGATAGTAGCGTAGGCTGATATTTAAAGTGTAATAAAGTAATATAGACTTTATGTATTTCAGCTCATCTGAATGGAATGTTGACTTATGTTAATCAGCTTGCATCATTTAATGAGTTAATCTGATTTTAATTATTTTGTACAGTGAGTATTTACACTGAAGACAACTTTTCTCTAAATTTTCCTTTCTTACAATTTCAGACTCCATAACTCCTACCTATGTTTGCGCTGTATTATATGTGAAAAATGATCGTTGGAAAGGTGTTCCGTTCATTCTACGAGCTGGAAAAGGTTAGTGTGTGTGTGTTTTAATTTCGTTTTTCTCCCTTTTTAAGGTTGTTTTTTAATGCTCTTCTATTTAAAATTGATTGTCTCTAGCACTGTTGACTTGCATGCTTTAAATGTTTGTTTGTTTTTCACATTCCTGTTTTTGTGGTTATTGAATTGATTTGATGTCAATGAGTGTGATTTGCCTCACTGAATTAAGGAGATCTGATTTATTTATTTCTAAATAACTTTTGTTATGAGTTATTCTGTTTGCTGAGCAACTGTTTCTTTTAGGCGAAGAAATCATGAACGCTGAAATCATTCTTTTTAAATGTTGGTTTGTAAGAATTTGACTGATTTCAAGTTTGATCATTGACTGACTTCATTTGGATTATTATTAAAAACCAGGGAGTACTGGACAGTTCTATCGTCCTACCTTGGGACTCTTCAGCAAACGCACCCATGGCCCTACCGGGGACCGAACCCACAGCCTTCATTTAACAGACGATTGCTATACCTATCATGAATTGACAGGCCACTGGATTCCGTCTCACTGGCTAAATGGCCAGCGAGGACTCCCTAAAACCTGAAGGTCCTGATTTTGATCCCCCGTGGAGTCATCGGTACACACTGATGATGAAATCAGATCTAGGACGAATCAGCTGTCCAAGTACTCTATGGTTTTCAATGGTCCTCTAACTGAAACCAGTTAGTGGTCAAGCTTGGAATCATTCTTTTCACGTGGTTAAGTGTGGCATGTAGGAGTTATAAAGTAGAGGATAAGAGTAACCTGCTGCTATAAACCAAAATATTCAGAATAAAATATGAGCTGCGCATAATAAGCTTGTCGATAATAAGGATTTTGACATGGAAGCTGTATAACGCTCAATAATGACTAATTTGAGTATTTTTTTATTACAGCTTGATTCCACACCGTATTTTTTGGTACATATATGGAATTTTCAGCATGTGATATCGGTAGCCCAAATTTTGCAAGCCGACCAGACATCAGGTGTGCGTCGGCAGGGAATCGAACCCCGGACCATTTGCATGATCGGCAAGAGTCCTAACCACTGTGCCACCGACACAAACAGAGACGAAATGCTCTTGATTAGATGGTATTAAAAGAGACTGATTTTACTCATAGGACTAAATTTTACAAGGGATGAGAATTTCACCTGATCTCTTTTTTGCAAAATGATGATGCGTTGAATCGTTTATTTGCATGCTACCTAGTATAAGTGCCTTACTGATAGACTGAACCACGAGCAGACGTCACAATTCTTATTGAGACCACCTCAACCTATCTGACCAATTCTCCTTGATAGCGTGAGTTGTCTGCAATCATTTATCATAATCATCATGTTGTGAGAGCTGTCTGCTAGCCAAAATCGGTAGACAGCAATTTACGTCAATGTTCACGTCCCAAATCTTGGTTATGAGAAAAAAGCAAGAACAAAGACTAACTCCACAACCAATCACAGCAGACTTAGCGTGGACGGAAACGATTAGCAGATATATGGTCTGACCTTCAAAGAAACGACCGCAAAGAAATGACAGAATAACTTCCAGTGAAAAAACGACCAATCAGAAGATGTTGTTTCTCTGCTAATAATAACGAATAATAATGTACATAAAAGAATGTAAATATCTGATGATCTTCTCAATAAACGATCTGTTGCCTGACCCAGATGAAAAGTTATACTGCATTCACTGATTGTATAAGAACAAACAGCGAAAAAGTGCTGGGATATATTAAACTCGTCGCAAATTTTTAATCGAATATGATATTCTTCCTAAATGACCAAATATTGTAGGCTTCACCATAAATATTAGTCATTTAAATTTGATAAATTGAAGAGCTAATAAAAGTACTTGCAACTAATGACTTATTTTTGTGTGAAAATCTAAGATAACTCGAGTATTTATGAATAACGAGAACTGTTAAAGCAGAGTCCTAGTTACGCTCACATCTTAGTGATAACCTTTGTGCCCATACCGGTAGTGTTTAGATGATAGCGAAATTCCAAGCAGTCGCCAAAATGGCTGCCATGATTGTTTCACGTTTCATAATATTTTTATTAAATATCACCACCTGTTTTTGTTTTTTCTGGCGAATTTGTTTGTGTGAGCATTATTGTCAGTTATTGTAATGTATTTTTATTAACTAGTGAATATTTCGCACAACTCTGAGGTATGAGACGCTAATGTGTATTACTTCTTTTTATCTATTATTTGTTCATACCAGCATTGAATGAACGAAAGGCTGAGGTCAGAGTACAATTCAAAGAACCTCATTTTCACGTATTTGGATCAGAGGATGTACCGCGTAATGAATTAGTCCTACGCGTGCAACCTGATGAAGCAGTTTATATTAAATTGAATGTGAAATCTCCTGGAATGAAAATTCAAACAGAAATAACAGAATTAGATCTTACATATGCTAACAGATATAAAGTATGAATCAATTATTCGGTTGGGTTTTTGTTTTCTTTTTTTCTTTTTACTTTTAGCACATCAAATTGCCAGACGCCTATGAAAGATTAATTCTAGATGTATTCTGTGGAGTTCAAACAAACTTTGTACGCAGTGATGAACTACGTGAAGCTTGGCGTATATTAACACCGATATTGAATTATTTAGAAGAAAATAAGATCAGACCATATCCATATACTTACGGAAGGTAATTTTACATACATCTTACTTGTCTAAGGGTATATAACTGGCTAATAACAATGTTCTTGTTAACATTTATTCACCGTTTATTATCTCAAGACTGTATTAAATATTTCTTCTTCAGTATGTCAGGTATATTGAAGAAATGACATAAGTTGGCTAAAGTTATGTCGAATAAAGCATTTATAGATACTGTAGAAGTTTTACTATAACAGTATGAATATATGGACGATGTGCTAGCTACTGAGTGGGGTCCACGTCGTCACGTTCAGTGTGATCACTTTTATTATTATTATTGTTATTATTTGGTTGGAGGATTTCATCATGAGCTGACATCGGTTAGAGAACCATTGGAAAACCTGCAGGGAGTACTAGACAGCCGTTTTGTCCCAGTTTGGGACTCTTCAGTAGTATGCACTAACCGGGGTTCGAACCCGGGACATTCTGGTGACAAGGTGAGCTGGTAGACCATTAAGCCACTAGGATCTGATCCAATGGCCCATGAATTCTAACGTCTGCCAATTCATGACATAGTGCGATCACTTCGCAATGTCTTTTTTGATTAGTTACTGCCTCACCTTCAATGAGTGTTGACAGTGAATTATGAATCTTTCAGTTGAAAATTTATAACACGTTAAAAATCAGATATGTTATATTAAGTCCCTGCTAAACATCTGCAACCTTTGAGTTAACAATAGCAGTCTTTCAATTCGCTCCAAAAAAATGAACGTCATCCTCCAACCAATTAAACTAAATTCCCAAAAAAACCATTACTTGAAAATTGTTATTATTATTCCCTTGAATTCCGAATGGAACATAGGGCTTAAAAGACACATCTCCACTTTTTCCTATCTTCTGCCGTCCTCTTTAGCTTAGACCACGATTGCCCACAATCTCTCATCTCCTCCTCACATGATCTGCTCCATGTCACCCTAGGACGGCCTACTCGTCGCTTCCTACTGGGATTCCACTCGAGGGCCTGGCGAGCGATGTCATTCGACGGTCTTCTCGATGTATGCCCGATCCATCTCCATTTTATCCTACATATTTGTTGAGCGATCGGCTCTTGGTTGATTTATAGCCAATTCTTTCTGGTCAGCCGGTAATTTGATCTTCAGTATGGGGCGAAGGCAGTTGTTGATAAAAGTCTGCAACCTGCTGAAAATCCTTTTCGTGACACGCAGTGCAAGTTTCTAACCTGTGTAGAATAACTGACTGACTTCACATTTGTGTTGAAAATTCAAATCTTGTTCCTTATGCTGATTTAAGGTTGATGAAGGCGGATCTTGCCTTTCCGATTCTGACTTTGACATCTTCATCCTTTCCGCCTGTAGATGAAACGATGCTTCATAGATAAGTGAAGGAAGTAACCTCTGTCAAATCTCTCACGTTAATGGTGATTGGTGCTAGTTGTTGTTGCTGTTCGTTGGTTATCTTCCTCACCCCCGTCTCCTCTATGTTCACCTGTTCACGTTAAAAAGCAGATAAGTTATAGTAAGTCCCAGCTAAACATCTGCAGCTTTTGAGTTAACATAAGCAGTCATTCAATCGACCCAAAAAACAAACGTCATTCAATGTCATCTACTAATAATCTGTCTGTACACTGAACTTTGTAGACCTCTGCAGTCCTCTGCGTTGATGAACTTCAGACTAAGATGGAATAATTCTCCAGTGTCTCTTGGCTTTTATTAGTTTTGTAAATGTTCTCCAAAAAAAAATGAGTTTCATTCAATTTCTAGAGAGAAGTTTCTTTTTTTCGTTATAATCGTCTAGTAGTTTTCTTGGCCAATACATTTAATCAGTTGTGTAGAGAGCTAATTTTTTTGAGAAGACTGTTCACATATTATAAGTCATGTCCGCATCATTGATAATTGGGCTTATATACTCCATCATTGGTAAACTGTTTACGTGTACTTTCTATTCATAATGATAAAGTCTCGATTGTATTTCTTGTAGAAAAGAAAGAAATCTTCGACGGAAATCATTTTATAAAATGTTCATTAAGGAAATACAAAACTGTGCTGTTATATCCCATTTTCTTTTCTCTTTCTCTCATTACAGTCGAAATGGTCCCAAGGAGGCAGATGATTTGTGTAAACGAGCAGGTTTCCAATATTCTGGCAGTTATGTTTGGAAATCAGTAGATCAAAGCAGCTAAATTACAAGCATTGTGATTCTTATACCTCAAAATTTAAATCTTTATATTGATTGTGAATATCTCTTAGTAGTATATTGAAATTTTTCTATCAAGAGACTTGAAGCTAAGTGAGAAGTTATACAATAGTTTTTTCTTTCCTCTTTTACACTTTGATTTTGATGTTGTGGATACACCATATCTTTTGTGTTTGTTCCTTCATAATTCGTCTGCACATAAGTTTACATCAAAATATAACTTTTTATTGAATAAAATACTTAACTAAAACAACTTGTGTAGTTATTTTAAAGCATATTTTTTTGGGGAAATGTTTTACCACCGATTTCTCGGGAGTATGCCCTTTTTAAGAAAATACAAGTTAAAATAATTTAACAACTATATCAAATGCAAATACCTCATCCTATTGCCAAACTTTGTATCAGCACAGAGAAATATGAGAATCATCCAGGTTTTCAAGAGGTCGCAGAACAACTGAGTATGTAAATTATTTCCAAACATTGTGCTAAATCATTAATCATCAATGCACTCCGTAAGAATTCAGATGCAGTTTTAGTGTTTAAGTGTATCCCTAATCAAAGTCTAAGACTCATTTAGGGGACAGGACGTATAACGTATTTGATGAAAATTTCCAACGCATTATGTGACAAGTTGCCTTCTGCACCCCAACGAAAAAACGAATTGTCCTGTAAAACAACACATATACTCATAGAAATTCTTCGAAAGCTGCTATTCAACACACACAAGTATACGTATCCGATGTTAATGCCGTGTGGCACTTACACACTACAATTCTCGCCAAATATAGCGATTCACGGCCATCATAGATATCTTAAGAAAACCGCTGAACGTAACTAATCCAGAGTATTTACCTCAATAAGTCACCAAATTATGAATCAATCACCTCAGGATATATCCAGAGAGCGGCTATAGGCCTTATGAGTGGTTCAATAATAGGTGGACCCGAAGATTCGTATTTGGGACATGATAACAATCACATCATAATTAGCACACAGCCATTGAATTAATGTCAGCAGAGGGGATTCAGTATTGAAATCTCATGTCCTTAGTAATGATATTGTTATCCTTGATTTCCATCTCTTCTCCCCCTTAGGGAAGGATCGCCTTCGGCAACCCTACAAGAAAGTACACAAAATTCAGTAGAATAAGCTTAAGGTAAATCTACGGGTGATTAGTAGATCAAAAATCGTATCTCGGAACACGATATTCGTTGCTTGAGAGGACGATTTCAAGTAGCAACCAAGGATAAAGGCAGATATAAGTCGCAAGGATTTACACAATTGTGTTTAGACTTGTCAGTATAGTATGTACTATGCTGGTAAGGATAAGGATATCCTTATGACTGAGTACTAGTACATAATAGAACACTGTTCAATTTCTGAAAAACATAATAGCACACAAATGACCCCATATGTTCGGGCAGACTACACATTTTTCGTAGCCTGGCTCATTATACCCAAAAACACCGACTGTTTGCCAAGACAAAGTATATCGACTCAACACCTCACATTTCTGACCATATCCCTAAGTGAAAATACAAAAAATACCCTTTTTATATTTCCAAGAAATTCTGATTGTTTGTTATAACATATATTTATCATCCGCGAATATGTTGATTTCGCTCGATTAACTAAGAGAAACACTACTGTTATTAGCCTACTGATGAGTCCTCGAAGAACAAGTGTATTCTGCACATTAACACTGCATTATTCTACCACACACGTATTCAAGAAAATCTACTAGTTAACCACATTGTTAATTACTACTATGAACAATGACTGTCGGCCTTCATTCAACACCATGCTGTTCGAAAAGCTGTTTACTAAGTGATTTACACTCACTTACTTTGTCATATAAACATGTTGTTATGGCCACAAGGTCACACCATCACGCCTTTATATGCAACACTGCACTCCCTAAGGTCGAAAAAGTACCGCACTTTTTCGTATAGAAGTCTAACACCTTAAGCTTTGAAAGATAGGATACTCAGTTATCAGGGGTATAGGCTAGCTAACTTGTAGTAGTTTATTTTTAACCTTATAGTATGTATGCATGTGTGTGATTCAGCTCCACCCCAAAATCATTCACCGAGCGAGCTGATAACTCCGTAGGCCATCAAATTATTTCGTGGGACCAGTGGAGTATCAGATAATTGATCTTCCCCTGTCAGTTTGCTTGTCTTTATTGCTGGAATAAAAGGAAGAGTGTCACGGATACTTTTTTTGAAGGAACAGTAGTGTAGTACCTGCATTGTATATTCCTGAGGTTTCTAATTATCCTATGTGACTGGGCTTATCTTTGAAGCGGTATGAGTTTAACACTAGTCCGTCGATGTCAAGGGCAGTGTTAAGGGAGTGAGCCAGGCTGAGGAGTCAACCAAGTGCATGAACAAGGCTTACGTCTGCCTGGATATGTGGTCACTTAAAAATAGTCAACATTAGCCTCAGTTCAGACCGAGAATTATGTGTGTCCTTGAGGTCTCTGGAACAACGTGAAAAACTGACTTCATAGGCCACTAGTGTCGATAAGGGGCTCTGGTCATTGACCACCTTATGTGAAGAATTCGAATCTCACTTGCGGCTTATCGGGTGTTTGACAGTTACATTAGGCTGATAATTTTGCTGTATGGTATGTATTCTGTGGTTGGGAGACTTTCAGGCTGAATGGCTATCGAGCAGTATTCTTCTATTTTTGATGTATCTTGTTATTTTTGTTGGTGTTGGAGGGTGATTGGCGTTGAACTGTGTCTGGATATGGTTTGTAATATAAACTCTAACTGTGAGTGGTTCGAGAAAACTCACTAAGGTTACAGAAGAACCCAATGACTGGGTTGTCTTAGCCTGGTTGAATAACCGGAGTTCACTACTCCCTCGAAAGTGAAAAGCCACAATTATTTTAATTTTCTTTCACAGATATCATTTTTGTGTTTGCTTATTCTGCATGTGGTATGCTTTAGCGAACTCGTAAATGATGTAGAAACTCTGACTGGGATACATTTAGGGTCTTTGATGTTTATTGTTAATGACCCGTCTTTTGTGTTTCTAAAACTATTACGTGAACGTAAATTCCACTCGAAGTTTACAGCCAGTATGGGATTTCATCTCGGTGGACTCGACATCTGCTGCGTATTGTCCCGCGAATATTCCGGATTATTGAATGCCTTTGTAGTGACCCGTTTTATTACTCATAATCGTACTATACTTTCAGTGTGTAATTGTACTTTCATTTGTTTATTACTCTAAATCATGCATGTTAACAATTGATACTTTTTGTACTCGCTCGATTTTTGAATTTTGATTGCTTCAATAATACACTGTCGTATTCCTTCGCAAGTGCCTTTTTAATTACGTTGTGGATGTCGAGTAATCACAACGTTAGGACACAAATATAAACGCGAAGAAGTACTAAGATATACGTGCATTCTAGTTCAGTCAAAATAGAGCCCCAACAAATTGGTGAACCCTACGATAACTTGCTGACTCCGACGACGACGACTTTTGACCTCGACGCGTTGTTACACTTGTTGGATTAATAAAACTTTAACCTTCGTGGATCTATATATTTATTACATATTCCGAACTCATTCTTGTGTTTGCTCATCGCACAACCTGCAGTAATTTGTGGTAAGCACCTGCATTGCATTTTTCTGTTTTGCCATATTCTTATTGTGCAAAAATTTTGCTATTTTGTTACTCTTAAACCAATTTTTTACGAATTGTAACATGTCTTCCAATACCTCTGATAACTTAGAGCTGGGATCTGTTAGTGCTATCTCTCTTACTGTACCAGTTTTTAAGCCCAGAGACCCTCATCTTTGGTTTGCTCGACTGGAACATTATTTGGCTAGCAATAAGCTCACATCACAGACAGCTAAATTTGGCATTTTGAGTACAGTGCTACCAGACGAAGTCGCCGAGCAGGTACGACAATACATCGTTCATCCCAGCACAGAAGCGCCTTATGACAAGTTGAAGGAAGAGGTACTGCGATGCACTTCGCTTTCAGATAGGAAAGCACTCGATCGCCTGTTAAGCAATGTTGAGTTAGGGGATAAAACCCCATCTCAACTCATGAGGCATATGCAAAGCCTAGTTGCAGGAAGAGAAATCGATAAACGTCTCTTTTATCAAATCTGGCTGCGACGACTTCCTCAAAACATCCAGCAGGTTCTTGCCTTCGGAGACGACGACATTGACATAGAAAGGCTCACTGAAATCGCAGATCGCATGTACGAGAGGTCAACACCTCAATCTGTTGCTTCCACTAGCAGAATACCAGATAAAGTTATCACGATAGACCCACTGAATAAAGCAGAAGCCATCAGAGTCGACAAAACGTCAAACGAGCGCATAGAAGCCTTAGAACGTAAAATCGACGTGCTCACTGAGCAATTAATGGCAATGAGGGTTAATAGACAACCTACCACAACGTACAGAAGACAACGTAGCCACTCACGCAATAGGCGTAAATATAGCTTACAACAGAATATATGCTGGTATCATCGGAAATTTGGGGTACACGCAAAACGGTGCACACAACCTTGTGCTTTCCAACAAACGGTGGCGTTGGGAAACGAAAAGGCCGGCGGTCGGTGACGACTGCGGTCGCTGGCCAACACACGTCCCACAGCCGTCTATTCAGGGTGACAGACAAAACAACGGGGGCACAATTCCTGGTAGATACTGGTGCAGAAATTAGTGTAGTTCCCCCAACACCCAACGAGCGCTTACAACCAAACCCAGCATTAGTTCTCAAGGCTGCGAACAATTCTACCATAAAAACATTTGGAACTCGGAGGCAAAAACTTAATTTTGGATGCAGTACGCCATTTGAGTGGGAGTTCGTAGTCGCCGACGTAACCTTTCCTATCATTGGAATAGATTTTCTTCAACACTACGAATTGCTAGTTGACTCTAGTCACCATAGATTGATAGATACCAGTCGAAAACTATCGATTTCAGGCATCTCCACAGATGTCGAGAGTA